AAATTTTAAAAAGTTGATCACAAATCGTGAGCAAACTGAGTGGGGGAGCAGGGTGGGGAATGTGTTTGTGACTTCCACTGTTGACTTTATCCATCCCCATCCACAACTACTCGCTCTCACCCATCCACTCGGTTCCCTTGCCACCTTAGTCCTCCATACCCATGAGGGACCATGATGTTTTGCACCTCTGTCAACCTGTATCTCCTTGACTTATCTGGCCAGACCCCCTAGACAGCCATATTGCCACAGCGCCACCAGCCTATTAGCATTTGACTTAATCCCTCAAAGAATTCTGTCCCAGCATTCCAAGAACTTAGTCCAGTAATCCTTCCCCTCCTCAGTCTCCATGCCATCCTTCCTCCTCACCTCTGTTTGATACCCCTTTCAGTGACTGTGGTCTGATTACTTTGTCCTTTACTGTCCAGCCCTCGGCTGTTGAGCATGCCTTGTCCCTTCTCCACTCATTCCTCCCCAAGCCTGTAATCCCGGCCCACGTCCCATGGTCTTTTAGCCCACAGAAGTCCCTGTCTGAGCCCAGTCTGCCTAACTGTGTCCATTTCCCGTCCAAGCTCTGTTTCCTTTACTTGTGTCACCTGCTCAGGACCACAGTCAGCCCTCAGGGTGTGCAGAGCAAGCAGCCATGGTCCTTATCATCTGGGAACTTCTGACAGAGAGCCATTGGTTAAATGGTTGAGTACCTGATAAGGGGCCAGTGTCCGGGAGTCTGGCTTCATCAGGGACACTTTGCGCTCTCTGTCCCTGTATGAGTTCTCATGTTGTTCCCTATTGATCCATCTATGGAAAAAAGAGATTCTATTTTTAATAGACCTTTTCTTTCTTTTACCTTTTAAATAATAAAATACTTTCTAATATCCTTGTCCCAGAAAGCCCTAAGGTTGTCAGTTGAACTGCTCATTTCATATTAAATAATACAAACAGAATGTGTTAGATTAAAATTACATGAAACCTGAAAGTTGATTTCTGTTGGGTAGGCTTAGTGAAGGGAGGTATGTGTGGTGAGAACATCAAGATCTACCTCACTTAGCAAATTTAAATATATGAGAGTCTTCTTATAGTCACCACACTACTATACGTTAGCTATCCAGGTCTTACCTGCATAACTGAAACTTTGAAACTTGACCAACATCTCCCACCTTTGCTCACCCTCTGTCCATGGCAACCACCACTCTCCCTTTTGCTTTTAGGGGTTTGAGTCTGACAGTTTCCATTTATATATACTTGAGATCATGTACTATTAGTCATTCTGTGTCTGACTCATGTCACTAAGTGTAATGTCACCCAGTTTCATTGGTGAAGTCACCTACAGAAGGAATTTCCTTTTCTAAGGGCTTGAATATTCCATCTCTCCCCATCTTTGTCTCTGTTTTTGTCTCTGTGTGTATCACATTTCAAAATCCAGTCATACTAATCAGTCACTAAGGAAATAATAATGAGGTGCCACTTATTTTGTAGAATGGCTTCTAAAAACATAATACAAAATGGGAATGAGAATGTGAAAAAGTAGAGTCTGCATAAATTGCTGATGGGAGTGTATAATGGACCCACTTTGGAAAACTGCTGAGCAGTTACTTATAATTTTAAACATTTAACACCCTTTTACAAAGAAAAGTCAAAGCAACAATGGAAAATCCCTCTGAACTGCTACACACACTCCTTTCTGTGTTTCCCTCCATCTAAATTTAGTTCCTATCCGGTACAGGCATTTAAAAAATTGATGGGAAAATAAAGGCAAGAGGAGGGACCCAGAATCTATCTCCTCACAGGAATTTTGGACACTTTATACCAACTCCCAGGGTATTAATGCATCTCACATCATGTCCATGAGGGTCCCAGCTAATGCACCTTAACCTCCTTGTGAGCACAGGGCAGGTGCTCAGTGGATACCACGGATAGAGGGTCTACATTGTTCCCCTAAGGCAGATATGCTCAGACACTGCTGCTTTCCCGGTCCTTGTGTAAACTGTAAAGGGACAGCAAAAGAGATCTTTCAGGACTGTGAGTGACAGTCCTTATTAGGGACAATCAGTACTTGTGTTGAGGTAAGATAGTGCAAGGGCCTCGGGAGCAGGGTCTGCATCTCCAGCTCAGTGCTGCTGGGAATGGACCTGGGATGGGCAACCCCAGCACCAGCAGGCCCTTCCTGGGTCCCCACAGCAAACCTGCAGAACCAAAGTGACTTATGGGGGGTTCTGATCCCCCAAGGGATCTGTATGCACCTTAACATGCAGCAGGATGGCTTAGCTAAGGTTCCCTCCAGTTTCCCATTACTGTCATGACCAGTTGTGGGAGACATCACATGTGCTCCTAGGGAGATCCTGTCTGTGGGTCTGGTTGGGCGCAGCCATGGTCTAATGAGGGGCTCCAAGTGTTTCCAAGGGGAGGTGGGGTGGAACCCACAGGCTTCTGGGGAACTTAAGAGAAGGGAGTGAGGCTCAAGGCAGGGAAAGGTGGGTTCTGCTCCCCAGGAGCGGGAAGGGGCAGGTCAGTGTAGCCTGTGCCCCCATCAGCAACAGGAACTGTGGGCTCTTTGTGGGAGGGGAGGCCCTGAGGACTGGGAGGGAGGAACTCAGGCGTTGGTCTCCCTTTAGGAGCCCCTTGGTCCTGTTTCTCTCCTGAGCCCAAGGACCCAGAAGGCGACCTTCTCAGCATTTCCAGGTCCTTGTGCCTGTGGGTGGGTGGAAGCAGCTGAAGAGGCTCTGCTGGTGCCTTTCTGGGCATACTCTCCAGACACAGGAGTGACTTCTCCACATGATACTGCCTGAGACAGAAGCCCAGAGCAGGAGGAAGAAATGGCAGCTTCTCAGGTGTCATGCTATGTCCCAGGTCAGGAGCTGTGTGTTTTTCTCTTGACCTGCCATGCATTTGGACTTCAGACATTTAATTCTCTCTGTCCCATATTCCTCTGTAATGAGTGTATTTTCCAGCTACTTGGTTTCCTGTGTGCTTATGACAGTAAGGTGAGCTCTGCAGGGTGCCTGTGTTCCCGTACGGCATGAGCAACCCTCAGCTTGAATTGGTGTCTTGCAACTATTGGAACTATTCCCTTTGTCAAATTAAGGCAGGAGGCATTGAATCCAATATTTGCATAGAGGCCCGGGTCAGAACTTAGAGTGTCAGCTGAGGAGGAGGACATTGCATCTTTAGATCCCATCTGGGTGCTCCATCTCTGTGCACACCTGGTGGAAGGCGATGCTTGGTAAACAGGGTGATATGTGCCCAGGGGGACTCAACGTTTTGAAAGAGAGCCTTGCTCTCAAGAGTGCAAGCTAGACTGCCTTACTCTAAAGATTGCAGGACATTGATGGGCAATAAAACTGCCATTTTCTAATAACTGGATTCAAATTATGGCTGACTGTTTTTTTCCTCCACAGTATCACAACGTTGGTGTGACCTGTGGGCTCAGGTAGCTGATAGCAATTTGTGCCATTACAGCAGATGTTCCTGTCTGTTCCCTTGGCTAAGGGGCTCTGTGCTAGATCCTCCCGATAGTAATTCCGCAGTTTTCATTCAGGATCCCAGAGGATTTGCTGAGAGAAGTTTATATTCTCATTTTATCTAGAAGCTCTCTTTTATTCTCAGTTTCACTTCACTTGTTTGCTTTGGAAAATGAAACAGGTCTCCTTTGTTACCTGGAGATAGTGGCTTTTCTAAGTGGAGGTCTCCACCAGGCAGCCTGTGTTGTGGAAGTTTGCATTTCATTCCACACTCCTGTCACAGAGCTAGTGCTCCTTGTTACTTTTCGCATTTCAGAAAGAGAAATCAAGATCCATGTATTTAATACATGTATGAGTGTCTTAAAATTCTAAAACACAACTCAGCATCTATGGTAGATGTAGCAAAAAATGTAAAGGAAATAGAAGACTCAGAAACAGTAACTTTATTTCAGTTTTTATCGTGTGTGTGTGTGCACTTCCATAGTATATTCATTAAAAGACAGGAAAACCATCATCCATAAATGATTAATGACTTATGCAATTGAAAATATTTCTTATTTTCTGACAAGATTTTTAGGTTTATTAGGTTTAATATGTGTATAGCTACATTTTAATGTATGGATGTTTGTGTAAAATGTAAGTTGCAAGATCAAGTCTGTGCTGTTTGGTTCATTTGTTTCCATTCCTCTACTCAGTTCAGAAAACTGCTGTGAGCCTCCTTTCTGGTTGTCTAGTATGTCAGTCTGTATTATTTCTAGGTTACATAAATTGGGTTAAAATCCACACTGTACCATTTACAGGATTTTAACAAAATACTCTCATAAATGAGGGAAAATAATATTCTCATGGGTTTTGTGTATTATGAATCAATTCATGAAAAGCTGTTAGAGCAGTTTATAGCATATTAAATGTTTTAAATGAATTGTGGTTGCCCTTCTTTCTGTGACATAAGAGACTGCATTTGTCATAAAACTTTTAGTTCAAAGCCACCCATGAATATTTTCCCCATGGTATTTCACTGTTATATAATTATAAAATGTGGCTCTTGGAGGGAGAGTCCTTAGCATCACTGGTGATCCTGTTCAAAATATAGAAACTCAGGACCATCCCACAATACCTGAATCATTATATGCATTTTAAAATCAAGAGCTCTTTAGAAAGTCAGAAGACCTTTATTGTTGTACATAATAGGTTTGAGAGGTCCACTTCTAGCACACCGGGACTTTGCCATTGAGAAATACACACAACTTAACAGGTAAGCTATCAATTTAGTACTTAAAAACTATACATGCTTGTATTGACCCTCTATTATAGATTTTGTATCCGATATAATTATAGTGTCTATAGTGGGTTTTTGGATTTAAATCATCCTTATTCCTCAGTGTTAGAGGAACTCTATAGAATTAAAAGTGATGCAGGTCATTCATACAAGCCCAAACCATTTCTCTTACTTTTCACTCTTCATTTGGGTCATATTATGAACTATGTTCATTGCCACTTGGTAAACATGGTTATTTATTTCCTTTGCTTTTTTTTACACATCAGGAACTGCTGACCTTCGGGGACGTGGCCGTCCGGTTCTCGCAGGAGGAGTGGGAATGCCTGGCGCCCGCCCAGCGGGCCTTGTACAGGAGCGTGATGCAGGAGAACTACAGCAACCTGGTCTCTGTGGGTGAGGAAAAGAGCTTCTTTCCAGCTTTTTTCTTAGTTGACAGAATGTCTCCTGTAAACTTCTGCTTTGTATGAAACTGTGTCAGATCCCTGAATTCAGTGAAAAAATTGGGGATATGTTGGTGTGGAAACAATTTTCCTGATTCCTGATGTATTTTGACTTAACCTCCCCTTGCTTCATGGATCTGCATCCTTCGCCCTAGGTTTGGGGTACTTCCTGAATTCAGTGACCCCATCTTTAATTCTGAAATCCACACTGTGGACTGAGAAACAGCAGGGAAATCTGAAAAAGAATCATGGTCTTTACTTGGGGTCTTAGACTTGCAATTTGGGGAGCACAGATGGATCACCAACCAGAAAAAGTGCCCCAGCTGTGCAGGGAAGCAAGGAATTTTTATGAGAAAAGAATGGTTGGCAGGGGTGGGGTGGGGGAGCAATAGAGGAAGACAAAGATAAAAAATTCTAGTGGCACTAACAGGCCGAGCTGCTTCATCAGTGCTTTGGTGACTAACTTACTGGCGCCTCCAAGGGAAACAAGCGTTGGAGGCCCCGCATAACTGCCCCATCTCTCTGAAGAGCATTCTGACACTTTTTTTTTTCTTAATTTTGCTATCATTAATCTACAATTACATGAAGAACACTATGTTTACCAGGCTTCCCCCCCCCCCAACAAGTCCCCCCCACAAACCCCATTACAGTCACTGTCCATCAGGGTAGCAAGATGCTGTGTAATCACCACCTGTCTTCTCTGTGTTGCGCATCCCTCCCTGTGCCCCCCCCCACTATACATGCTAATCGTAATGCCCCCTTTCTTTTTCCCCCACCTTTATCCCTCCCCACCCATCCTCCCCAGTCCCTTTCCCTTTGGTAACTGTTAGTCCATTCTTGGGTTCTGTGCTTCTGCTGCTGTTTTGTTCCTTCACTTTTGCTTTGTTCTTATGCCCTACAGATGAGTGAAATCATTTGGTACTTACCTTTCTCTGCCTGGCTTATTTCACTGAGCATAATACCCTCTAGCTCCATCCATGTTGTTGCAAATGGTAGGATTTGTTTTCTTCTTATGTCTGAATAGTATTCCATTGCTTATATGTACCACATCTTCTTTATCCATTCATCTACTGATGGACATTTAGGTTGTTTCCATTTCTTGGCTATTGTAAATAGTGCTGCGATAAACATAGGGGTGCATCTGTCATTTTCAAATTGGGCTACTACATTCTTAGGGTAAATTCCTAGAAATGGAGTTCCTGGGTCAAATGGTATTTCTATTTTTAGTTTTTTGAGGAACCTCCATACTGCTTTCCACAATACTTGAACTAATTTACATTCCCACTAGCAGTGTAGGAGGGTTCCCCTTTCTCCGCAACCTCGCCAACATTTGTTGTTGTTTGTCTTTTGGATGGTAGCCATCCTTACTGGTGTGAGGTGATATCTCATTGTGGTTTTAATTTGCATTTCTCTGATGACAGGCGATGTGGAGCATCTTTTCATGTGTCTGTTGGCCATCTGAATTTCTTCTCTAGCGAACTGTCTATTCAGCTCCTCTGCCCATTTTTTAATTGGATTATTTGCTTTTTGTTTGTTAAGGTGTGTGAGCTCTTTATATATTTTGGATGTCAACCCTTTATCGGATCTGTCATTTATGAATATATTCTCCCATATTGTAGGATACATTTTTGTTCTGTTGATGGTGTCCTTTGCTGTACAGAAGCTTTTTAGCTTGATATAGTCCCACTTGTTCATTTTTACTTTTGTTTCCCTTGCCTGGGGAGATATGTTCATGAAGAAGTTGCTCATGTTTATGTCCAT